ACAGGGTCAACGACGAATAGTTAGGAAAAGAAAAGAAACCCCCCTCCAAGTTGTAACAGGTAGAGTTTAGAGTGAAGTAGACAATGGAAGACTGAGAGATAACTCAGGCTGCCTGTCCACGCTGTACTACTCTGGTATTTATACACAAGGGCCAGACCCCTAACACTACTGGTAGTACATCTAACACCTAAGGCTGACTGATGCTCACAATATGCTATTGGCTATCTAAGAATACCTAGTGCATAAACCATTGCCCTGTCCTCATGTTAGATCAGTAGTTCTACAATGATGATCACCTGAACAACCATGTGTGTTCCTAGTACAAATAGAGAAATCTCATATGAATGTATGATAGCCCATTTGCCATGCTTCTGATAAGCTGAACACCTGACTAGTAATATGCCACTATACATGGTGCTATCCTTATCTAGATAGATATCTAATCAGATAAGATATAGATAATCTAGATGCTTTAAGATAAGATAGGTGCTATGAAATTCTGTGACAAGTTGGGAGTTCATTTCAATTTTCAATGTTGAGATTTGAGTGCCACTTGTGTGAGTGAAGTGCATCACAGATTCACCTTAAGAAGAAAATCAGCCATATGAGGAGACCAGGCTCTTTTACTATAGAAGATATATTCTACCTTTATCATTTCTTGGGAGTTGCATCATGTAATCTTAGAGCTATGCCCCAATCATAGACAGTTGAAATGGGCCAACACAATTGCCAGTTAGGCATCCAAAATAGATATTCAAACAAGCTGATTAAGGGCACCCCTGGCAAAGTGAAGACAACTTGCCATCCAAATGGTTGTTTACTTGGTGTTGACACAGAAGTAATGTCATGATGCTAAGTCTCTTTGATTCAATTTGGAGTGATGATCCAGTAACAAGTTGCGTAATCCGCTCGGACAAAAATCGTCACCTGAGCGATTCGAACACTCGCGGGCAAAGCCCAACCGCTGACAGCTATAAATAGCAGGCGATCCCGTTAACCACTCCGGCAAAGTGACCTATATGTTAGGGGATGATGGATGGCCAGAAAGTGAGCAGAGTTATAAACCGACAAAGACCCAATCATTGGATGACTTTCCGAGCCCAACTATTCTACAAGTACATCTCATCCCACCCTTCCTCATTCGTGGGTCTGATTGCTGCTGATGCTTCGACTTGGGGAGGGGGCTGCTCATCATGATGAATATTTATGACTGTGGTGGCAGATCCTGGAGTATCTTGATGAGTGGACGATGCTGCTTCGAGTTCTCTTACAACATCCCACATATCCTCATCTCCGTCAGAGTCGTGCGGCTGGAAGCTGCGACTTCGATCTACAGGATGGGTGGCCTGTATAGAAGCTGCTTGCGTACTGTCAGGAAGATCATTCATGAGATCGTCCCACAGGGCCTCATCTTCAGCCGTGTCAATCTGCATAGCTTGTGGCGGCTCTCTTGTCAAGTAGGTGCTACCAGAATTCGAAGGAGGATGAGCAACGGTGGCGCGCTGCTCCTCTTCACGTATAATAGCGTCGATGTCAAAGTCATCCAATGCGTCCGACGATGATGGTTCAGAGGCTGACGATGGAGGCTGAGAAGGTGCCCGCGAAGACGGCAGCTCCATGTTATCTGTAGTGTCCTTCGTATTGCCCGAGGGAGTTTGCTTCGCTTCTGCATCTTCCTCGTCTCCATCACTGCCGCCGGAGTCTGAATCTGACGGCATGTCTATCTTTCGCCCGTTGACGAGACCTTTAGACTCGTCCCTCCAAACGCTTAACGCGACCTGGGCGGTCTAAGCGCACCATAACAATCGTAGAACTTGCGAACATACATTCATTCGTTTGGAGTGACACAACTTCTCCACTCTCTGGACAGTGTCACGAAATGGCATTTTGGGATACATTTTATGTCCCCAAAATTGATAGACCTGCAGTAACCTATTCAAATCTGTGACCTGGTGAGACCGTAGCTTGTTTAAAATAACTTCTGTATAGCATAGATAATGCCCATACCTCGTGCCCTTTGCCCTTAGGCTTGAAGTTCTTTACCTGCTTCACAAGTGTCGGAAATCCATCAGGTCCAAGTAATCGAGCCTCATCAAGTTTGGGAAGCGGTTTTCGCTTCTCTTTTGCCCCTTTCTCTTCTTTAGACTCCCCATCGCCCAAGTTCCCTTGCGTTGAGCCGGAGACTCCATCGAGGGGCGTCCCCTCAGGAAACGCCTTTGCGTTCTTTGCGTCTTCTTGTCGTCGTAGAGCACCCAAATCGAGAGGAGCAGGGAGGTCTTCGAACGCTGCATCGTCCAAGCTGTCAAACATGGCATCAATTTCGGCTTTGTTAGAGGGAGGGAGGCCAGAATCCTCCGCGGTTTGCTGGTCGCCGGCATCGTCGGAATCAGAGTCAAGGAACAGAGACGATCGTGGTCGTTTGGAAGGCCGAGCCTGCAAGTTATCTGATGTAGGACTCTCGCGAGTGCTGACTGCCGAGCTGCGAGGAGGAGAATTGAGGACTGGCGCGTCCCAGATGTTTTCGAGGGCAACGGAGTCCATGGCAAGGTGCGATGTGCGACGCGCCCTGTCACGCACGCGTCGGAACGCGGGTGTCACGGCGTCACGTCGATTAATTGATGACATCGATCGTGTATTTCGTTGGGTCTCACTGGTCTCGTGCCCAGACGCTTCGACACGTCTGGGTACGAGACCAGGTCTCACCCGCCGCGGCGACTCTCACTGCTATTCACTGGACTACGTGCCATCCGAAATGAAAGACGACAGCAACATCCTTCAGCCAGACGTGGAAGCTGGAATAGCCTACTGGGCCAGTCAACCGCCCAGCTACGATGGCGTACTCGGTAAGTCTCCGCGAGTTCTATGTGGTGTATCGGACACTGTCATGACCAACGTAGGCGGCTTTGGCAACGGCGTATGTGCGTGCTCACCTATCCGCATTTATGCTCATGAAAGTCCCAGTCACTGCCTAGAATTGACGCTCTAGGATCGCGACAATTCCTACTCTATCTAATGCCCGAACTCAGCACTGTCTCATCTCCCATTCGTCCTCTGGCGTCACCTCACAGCATTCATGGGTATAGAACTAGGGCCTTAGATGTTGGTGCTGGTGTCGGGCGGGTTACAGCAGACGTTCTCTTGCACCTCGTTTCTGATGTGGTCCTTGTGGAACCGGTCGATAGCCTCGTCAATGAGGCATGGGCGCGCGGCAAAGCCAGTGAGACAGGAATTTTGGATGTCGATGCGCAAGCACGGTGGAAAGGCATTTTGGAGGAGAATAAGAGCGTCACTTTTGTCAAGGATACGCTTCAAGACGTCAACCCGTCTCGTCCTGTAAATCCCGCCAAATTGCTTGGTCGTGTAGGATATGTTCCTCCTACGGATGCCATGGAGTCTCTCTTCGACATCATATGGTGCCAGTGGTGCCTAGGGTCGCTAAGTGACTCCGACCTTATTGAATTTTTACGGCGCAGTCACTATGCCTTACGGAATCCCCAGAAGAGTCTGATAGTAGTGAAAGAAAATTGTTGTCCTGATACGGAAGACGGTCGTCCGAGTACGACATTCGACGAGACCGATTCAAGCTTGACAAGGTGGATATTTCTATTTGTCTTCCGATTGTTGTGCTTCAACTATTCATAATGGCAAAAATTACATTACAGATCTGATCTCGCATGGAAGAAAATATTCAGTGATGCTGGCTTACATTTAGTTTACGAGCGAGTCCAAAATGGCTTTCCGGCGGGGCTGTTTGTAGTCAAAATGTGAGTGGACGAGCATTCCTCCGTCGACCATTATTCTAACCTCAACCAGATACGCATTAAGGTGATACTGGATGGTTAAATGTATGCCAGCCGTCTCGCGCTCCATATCCGATTATTTATGGATAGGTGGCGAAAAGTATTTGTTGGAAGACCTTTTCTTGTGGCATGGGCGAAGATATATGGTAGATGATAGAAGAAGTGCATATCACGTAAATCACTAAAACCGAAAGCAAAACTAATGTATCCAAGTAAATCATTGTGCAAGTGCTATGATTCGTTAATAGTCTCGAACCAGTCTGCCAACTCTATTGGCAGAGTTCCTATCGCTTCTGCCCAATACCGCCTCGCTAAGGCTGGTTCTCCTTTTCTGCTCTCTGCTCTCGGTCCGTTCCCTAACATTCGGGAAATTGCTGCGAATGGAATTCTCCAATTGCGGCCAGATTTCATCCGATGTCGATCCACTGAGCGTAACGATCCTTGCATTTCCAGGATTTCCTAGGTAGTAGTCTAGAAGTGGGGACGTAGATGCATAGAACTTGTCAAGTCGACGGGCAAAGGTTTCCTGCACGAGGACGGTGTTACTTCGAACAACAGAACAATTGAATGAGCGATGCACGTACTGGATTGTCATCTGGTCGTTTCGTTAATGGTTCGCCGGTTTCGTCGTCATGACCAGCTACTTTTGGTGGGTTGTATGATAAATTGTACACCCTACCAGAAGGCAGGTGGACCCAACGATCCGATATTCGGCTCAAAATAACTTCATCGGGAACATTAAGATTTACAACCAAACTGAGAGGGCATCCCTGCTGTCTGCACACGAATAAAATCTCAGCTTGAAACACACTCCTGCGAGCAGTGAACGACGCACTGCAAATGTTCATCCAACAATTGCCCTTGGCCCACCGTCCGCGGAAACCCGTCCAGTATCCAATGCTTTCGCAATTTGTAGCGGCTTTAGCACATATAGCAAACGAGCGACAGATCCTCCATACCTTATTGTGTAGCATATCTAACTTGGTAGAAACAACCTTGAGCATGATGTCATCAGGTAAGAGTCCGCCTGTAGCCACTATTTCTTCAGCCATCCGGCCAACCTCGGTCCTGGCGTTGTCGGTAAAGTCAGAGACGTTCTCCAAGCTAAAGAGCGGCTCTGAACGTACCGCTCCGCAATATGTTGACGCAACAAATCACCGGTAGATAGGGATAGGACATCGTATTTCTTCACGAGCCTCGCCGTCAACGTGCCCTTGCCTGCCCCAGGTTTCCCAAACATGAGCATGCGTAAGAATCGGCCTTCATCGTGGTAAGGAACATCCTGGGTCACCGCCCCGCCACGAACGTTGTGCAAGGAAAATGGCAGAGCCTTATTTGCTGTCGCGGTTGATCGGAATCCCCGCCAGCATGTCCGAACGACTTTCGGCCGAAAGGAGGTGCTGAAAAGGGCCGAACTGAGAGACATGCCCAAGACAACAGTAGCAATCAGTATCCCAGGCAGCCGGTGCAAGAGGCACGCCTTCTGTCTGCGGTGCCGGTACAACGCGGTATGGACCCCCGGCCTTAAAGACGATATGAGCAGGGCGTTAAGTGGGGTGGTCCGATAGCCTGGTGGTATGTTTTCTTACCTGGTGGCTTGTCCTGTCCCAGTGATACTCTGCCGTGCACACTGCAGAGCACGAAAGCGACGAGCAGGCAGAAGGGGGCTGTCGTTGTCTAACCCTAATGGTCGAATCCTCACTAGGGCCGCCCCCCCATCCCCAAGCCGCAGCGCCGCGCGTTCCAGGCTGCAATCGCCAGTCACGCGCGATAATCACGCGATGCGCAACGCCCTCAACGCCGAACGGAGCATTCGAGTCATTGCTCAACTAGCTGTAACATTGAGTATGCGTGACAACGAACGGCCACAACAGTATGTACATCAGGCATGAGCGCTAGAGCGTTGGTGCCCTTTGGATGACCAGCCGATCAATTCTCTCATCTCTTTTACACCCACGACACCTCTCACATCATCGCGGCTTTGCTCTACAGAAATGCATATAGCTTCCGCAACGTGGTCTACGTGTATAGGAGGAATTGTCATAGCATTCGCCATTGAATCCAGTGAAGATGAAGATGCTAGGGCCTGTGAATATGATGTCACTGGAAGGGTTCGGGAAAGCGAGCGGAGTAACGCGGAGGGAGTGGGCAAGCCCTGCGGAACTTGCGAATGTAGCGTCGCAGATAGATCAAGCAATGCGGCGATAGGGGATGTGAGCGGTCGGAAATGAGGGTGGTAAATCAAACCTATTGCGAAGTTTAGCCAATCCACTGTCGACCGGTCTAACAACACTTACTGGGTCGGATGTACACTGGACGGTGCGCTGGATTTTGTGACATCATATACTCAATCTCAGTCTCCGCCTCGCGCTTCGTCTCGATGTACCGCGCTGGTATGAATGGTCGGAATATATCTTCCGCAGACACATACACAAATACCCTTGGCCTTTGTATATCTGTGCTCGGCGTAGACGATATAAACGCCTCACAGGTGCGAACAGCTACATCAGAATACGCGAAAGAATTATCAAGAGACGTCCTAAGGGTTTGGTGGCAATATGCGTACCGGCATCTCTGTTAAGTAGCTCATAACTACCAGGGTTGTCTAATTTATCCGCTAGCGGATTGCTTGACGGACCACCCCCTGCAATATTGGACACAAGTGTATCGAGAAGGGCGGGAAGGTTGCCCTCTTTTAATGCTGCTTTGTAGCGGGTGTCTTCGAATAAAGTCCCAATAGTATGTACGACGGCAGTGACGCTTGGGAGAATATGAGAGTATGTTTCTGGATTGAGAGCATTCCCAGCTTGCCAATTCACCTAGAACAGAAGCAATGAGACTAGACTTCGAACCCTAAGTAAGGAGCGAACAACACCTCGGACGTCCAAGCAGGAGAATGACCCTTCGGTGTCCGGAAAGGAGCCCCGGACTGGCTATGATACAATATCAGATACAGGGGGCTGAAGGGGGGGCATAAAAGGACCTGATGCTCGTCACTTGCATGCCTCTTGCTAAAGCCGCCTTGCAGACAGCAGAACCTAGCCGTGTCGATACGCGTGAGCTGAACCCAAATGTTTCGAAAATTCTGCTTCCTCACCAAGAAAACCGTTACCACCAATGACCAACAGTCTATTGAGATATGACATCGTACTGCAATTGTCGCGGTTGAGCTTGACGATCAGAGTCGCCTGAGAGCGCTCTCAGAGTAGCGCGGTCGCACTTAGGCTCACAGTGGTGACGTCAGCTCGGCGCTTTCGTGAGCGGCACAAGCTCTAATCATAGCTGAAGCTTGTGTTGCATTTACGAAATCGATGAAGATATCAAACTCATTCGGTGGCAAGTAATACATGCGACTCTAAATGTAAAACAGATGCTATTTTTGCCAATATACCCGCAGCAGGACTTCAACCGGATCAAGCTATTGCTGTGACTTCTCAATAGCCTCAACTACCCGCTGGGTGTCTGTCACGAAACCATAGCCCTAAGAGACGGTGTTCATTCACTCTCTCTGGGTAAAGAAAGGGTTTGCGTACGTTGACTGCGTTATATAATACATTCTCGAGACCACCTGCTGGTGACGTTGTAGCGATACCGTCTTTGAGTGTGATGCAGTCATAGCCTCGAAAGTACGCGTCCGCAAGCGTCCCCAGTACACACTGCATCGATCTCAATTCTAGAATCTCAGCAGAGGGAAACACTCACCTGGTCTGCATTCACCCCGGCGAAGAAGAGCGTGTTGATACCATTCTCCTTGAGATATAGATCTAGGGCAGACTGGTAGCCCCACAGTCCACTCATCCTGGAATTACATCAAAATAAGCTGCCAGTGATCACTGATTGCCAACAACTTACCTATTCTTATGTATCCACACATCAGTACCAGCTTTCTTTCCTTCTTCATACAAATGTTGCAGAGGCCCGTAAAGGTCCGAATTGAATTCGCCTCGCATGAGCATACGGCCAAACGAACCCGGAAGGTGAGAACCGAACCCTCCTCTACCATTCTTCATGAAGCCTCGTACGAGAGAAGGAGGAATCGTATGGAGCTCATGTCCGGTGAGCCCCCAATTCCTGTCCGCGGGTGTGATCAGTAGACTAACACCGACGCCTTAGTAAAGCCAGGCTTACACCCAGAGAATCTTGATTCCATGCGATCGCAAAGCAGGAACAGCTTTCATCAAAGGAAGAACACAGTCTAATCCAGTTGGGTGATCCCTTAGATCGGGATGCAGGAAAAAGCTAATGCGACATGGCGGAATAAATTCATGGTAGGGAAAAGATGTGACATCATCGAAACGTACTTCTGCATGTCAATAATCACGATCGCACTGGACTCTTTTGCGATCCTAACCGTTCGCTCACTGTCAACTGGTATTTCCAGCTGCGTGCTCGACTGGATTGGAGGCACCTGAAAGTCATCTCGGCTTTTTGCATCCGTAGGTAGGTGTGTTTGGCGCGTCAAGTCAACAAGCCCGGTGGGATATTCGACCCAGAATGAAGCAGCATTGCCATATTCCGTGGGGGTAGAGACGTGGGGACGAGACATTGCTACCTGCTAGATTGTGCAACAAATCAGCTTCAAGCCTACACGCAACAAAAAGCGTTAGAAAGCTTACAGAGAGGATGCTGGAGTCCGATGCAAGGTGGCTGGTTCAGAAAGTGAGATTGAGAGTAGCTGGTAACCTGATGATACGATGACAATGATATACCTTCCGATAAGATAACCAGGCAGAACAGTCAGTGCGCCTCGAGTGTGCCTGAAGCTTGAGCTTGAGATCTGAGAGCTTCGAGTGCGCACTGCCGTATACACACGGGCGTGGGTTCACAAGGCTTCGTAGGGATGTTGCGATATCGTGGACCAGCGGCATATATATGCCACATTAGAAATCTGTTGCACAAGTACACATTCACCAGTCATGGTCAAAGGCGCCTCAGCAAAAACTATCAATGCGCATATTATTGATAGAGCGACATATGGACAACTTCGATGTAGTCTCGTAACGCTTCGAGACTACCGGGTACGAGTCTGAGACTGTGTCGATGTGAATCCAGAGCAATCGCGGCACTTATCGAATGAGCCCATGTGAAACGAGCGATATCATCAATACAGTACATTTCATTTTGAGCGAACTTTGCCGAGCGCGAGCTGAATTCGTTCAAGCCATCGAGGACTGTCAACAGCAGCAGTTCTCCGAGTGCAAACTTTTGCATAGGCGCGTGGGCTAGCAGGAGATTTTAGACGTGTGCTCCTGAAAAGGAAAACACCTAGAAGACTCGAGTGAACAGCAAACGGGGATATTATAAGATAAATAATGTTTTGAGGTCCTAGTCCGCATACACAGCAGCATGCGCGAGCGAGGTCCGCCGCACGAGCAGTGGTGGTGACTTCGAGAGTCAGGATGGAGGGCCGCAGTGTCGGGAAATGCCGCACGCCAACCCGTTTTGGAAGGAGGCGCAGCGCAAGAGCGTGGGCACTGCCGCCCTGACTGAACGCTGACACTGCCGATGCAGAGCCTGCAGCGTTGATCGCTTTCATATTCCAAACCAATTCCAACCTTCGCGATCTTGAACCTTGTGCCTAAATAGTGAATTACTTGACAATGGGTGCGAGAGATTGATGCCTTTTCTGCATAACTCGTCACTCACTGCATCCTTCAGATACCCTAACAGAGAATCCATTTGCGTCCACGCATTCGCTTGACGCAAACCCATTCGAGGACCCGGTGTCCCGACATGGAACGCCTAAGTCAAGCTACCCGTCACCAGCCCATGCGGCACGATTGGAGGAGCTGAACCAGAGAGAAAGAGACCTGGAGCGGAGAGAGCAAGAGCTGAGCCAGAAAGCCGAGCATATCAGGAGGTTTGGCCGGAACAACTGGCCACCTTGTTAGTTTTCTCTCTCATATCCCCATTACTGACGAGCAGCTGATTATTGAAAAGTCTACCCGTTGATTTTCCATTCCATTCAGGACGAAATTCCCGAAGGGTCTCGACAAATGATCACGCGCATATACCAGCTATGGCTTGTTCTGCTGGGCACGTTAGTAATCAACGTAGTGGCCAACATTCTGGTCCTGACGGCGGGATCCTCGCATGGTGCGAGTGATGTCGGGTCAAGCATCGGGTAGGAGATGTCTTCAGCTACTATATTTTGATCCGCTCACTGTTTTACAGGTATCTGATAGTCATCCCACCCATCTCGTTTCTCGCATGGTACAGGTCAGTCTGTGTTTATTCTATGCATTTTCAATGTTACTAATGCAGTATGCACCAGACCTTTATATAATGGCTATATGAAGGCAAGTGGCGTGTAGTACACTCAGTGTGGGGTAACTAATATATTCCCCTCAGGAGCAATCGTTATATTATTGTGCGTGCAGTATGAAAGTGTATCTACTTCAATTTCTCATATACGCGCAGATTTATACTTCGTCTTCGGCGGGTTCCACCTCGCATATTCGCTCTACATGTAAGGATCTCTATTTATTTGCTCTGACATTCATCCTCACTTTGAGCTACAGGATCGTTGGTATCCCAAGGTGCGTATTGTTGCACAATTTAACCTGACCACCATTGAATGTGGTGATATTGCAGCACCGGCTCTGCGGGTTTTATCCAGACAATAGAGCAGTATATCGATGGCCATATCGTCGCAGGTGTTTTCGGTACCATTGCCACGGTAGGTTGGGTGTTGCAGGGTGGTGGAAATGCCATGTATTACCGGCAGGTGAGTAGATCAGCAAAGCATCAGGTCTTCCTCGCCGACATTCCATGCCGCTAGATCTGGTATCATCACAAGGCTGCTGGTCACTCAGTTGCAAAGGTACGGTGTGGATTATTTTCGCTAGAGACTCACTAAATCAACGATATTTAGGCAAAAAGCGAGCTAGCTACCCATGGGGCGAAGGCCTATTTTACGCGGGGATGAGAGATTCCGCGTACATGAACGATTGTGACTCGCTGTTCGATGATTTACGACCATTTGCTGGATGTTTACGAATCCTGTGGCTGCACTGTACGGTACATAATGTTATGTATGCGATTGGGAGATCAATACGTCCAATGACTCCATATCGATCAGTGAACTCTGTGAAGAGCGGCCAATTTTAAAGTTCAGCGTGGCGGGTTGGCCAATGGCGGCCACAGTGGGCTGTGGCATGCGCGATGGCCTATACATAATCAGTCGGAGTTTGATCTTCCACATGTAAAGAGCGCGTGCAGAATCAACACTTTCCTCCAACCCCCATCTAAGGTATGCTGCGTTCTTTCCTGAATTGCCTTGCCTTGCTTATGATGCTCGCGATCTTCAGGCTATTCGAAGAAAAAAACACATACACAAAAAAACCCTAAAAAATCAGTTGCCTTGTCGCCTCCTGTGTGCGTAGTTCGAAAATTCTAGCTTGATTTATCGCATCTCACCCTCCTGCTGAACAGTCGCAGAAAAGTCCACAAAGCAGTAACGACCCACTTTATCCCTATAAAACACCATGTCCGCTTCTGTTGTTCCCCCCCAGGATTCCATTGCTCAGGGCCTTGTTCCTGAGGCAGTCCCTCCCGTACCCGCTCCGGTCGCGGCGTACAACCCTCCCCCTCCTCAGCAGATGCCATCTCCTTCAGCCTCTCTTTATGTAGGAGAGCTTGACCCCACTGTAACTGAAGCTATGCTGTTTGAGATATTCAACATGATTGGTCCTGTCGCAAGGTGGGTTCAATTTTCTGGTGTTGTGGTTGTACTAATCAACTCATAGCATTCGTGTCTGTCGCGACGCTGTTACGCGTCGCTCGCTTGGATATGCTTATGTGAACTACTTGAACGCGGCTGACGGCGAGCGCGCCCTGGAGCAGTTGAACTACTCCTCGATTAAGGGTCGGGCTTGGTTAGTATCGTATGCTTCTTCGCCGAGACTTGATGATATTTATCGAAAATTCAATACCAGTCGTATCATGTGGTCTCAGCGCGATCCCGCATTGCGCAAGACTGGTCAGGGAAACATCTTTATCAAAAACCTGGATGAACAGATTGACAACAAGGTTCGTCCCATGGCAAACTAACTGACATTCCCTCACTATCTATACAGGCCCTGCATGATACCTTCGCCGCCTTCGGCAATGTCTTGTCATGTAAGGTGGCTACCGACGAGCATGGCCGCTCTAAGGGTTACGGATTCGTTCATTATGAGACCGCTGAGGCTGCCGAGACCGCTATCAAGGCTGTGAACGGTATGCTTTTGAACGACAAAAAAGTATATGTTGGCTATCACATCTCGCGCAAGGTTTGCACCCTCGTTTGTGCTGCATATATCTCAATTTATATTCTTTTTTGTAGGAGCGTCAATCGAAGCTTGAGGAGATGAAGGCTCAGTTCACCAACATTTACGTCAAGAATTTCGATCCTGAGGTCACCGAAGAGGAGTTTATGGCACTCTTCCAGCAATTCGGTAGTGTTACCTCGGCTGTCATTCAGCGTGACGACGAGGGCAGGAGCCGTGGCTTTGGTTTCGTAAACTTCGAGGTGCATGACGAAGCGCAGAAGGCTGTTGAGGGTCTTCACGATTTGGACTTCAAGGGCAAGAAGCTCTTCGTTTCTCGCGCACAAAAGAAGGCTGAACGTGAGCAGGAGCTGAGACAATCATACGAGCAGGCGAAAATGGAGAAGATGAGCAAATTCCAGGGTGTCAATCTATACATCAAAAACCTCGAGGACGATCTCGACGATGACCGTTTGCGTACGGAATTCGAGCCTTTCGGCAGCATCACCTCGGCCAAAGTGATGCGTGACGAGAAGGGTACGTCGAAAGGATTTGGTTTCGTCTGTTTTTCTTCGCCCGACGAGGCTACCAAGGCCGTCGCGGAGATGAACAACAAGATGATTGGTACCAAACCCTTGTATGTCTCGCTGGCTCAGCGTCGCGATGTTCGCAGACAGCAGCTGGAGAGCCAAATCGCGCAGCGCAACCAAATCCGTATGCAGCAGGCGGCTGCCAGCGGTCTTGCAGGTGGTTATATTAATGGTCCTATGTATTACCCCCCTGGCCCTGGTGGCTTCCCTCCTCAAGGTGGACGTGGCATGATGGGTTATGGGCAGCCAGGCATGATGCCTCCCCGTCCCCGATATGCGCCTAACGGTCAAGTGCCTGGTATGCCCTTACCGGGTCCTTACGGTCAAGCACCCCCTCCCCAGCCTTACCCTAGTATGCCTGGCTACCCTCGTGGCGCCCCTCGTGCTCCCCCCGCTGGCCGTGCACCGCCTCCCGCCGATGCAAACATTCCTGTCAATGGCGCTGCTCCACGGCCCGCCGGACCCCCGGCTGCTCCCGTCAACCGCCCCGCTGCTGGTACTCCCGCAGCTGCGAGTCGTCCACAAGGATACAAGTTGAACCCTCAAACTCGTAATGCCGGTGCTGCTGGTCAAGTGCCCTCTCCTGGTGGGGCTCCGGTGCCGGGTGCTGAAGCGCCGGGGATTTCGTCTGCACTATTGGCGAACGCATCACCTATGGAGCAGAAGCAGATGCTTGGTGAAGTAATTTATATGAAGATTGCCCCGTGCGTATCATATTCTGTATGGCTTGTGTGACTATTTACCAATCTATCATCAGTGCCCACCCTGACCTCGCTGGTAAGATCACTGGTATGCTGCTGGAGATGGATAATGCGGAATTGTTGCACCTGTTGGACGATCAGGAGTCGATGAACAACAAGGTCAACGAAGCACTGGTTGTATTACATGAGTTCTCGCAGAAGGAGGTAGTAGAGAGCAAGTAAGGCGGTGGTGCTGGTGGCCTTACCTGGTGTTGTGTCCGGTGTGTTGCATGCCCTCGATTTCTGCAATGTCGACTAGCCGCGCTGTTCCACTTGCTCTGTTTGCTTTACTTCATTCTCTGACAGGGTTGTGGATGTCATTCCTTTGCATGTACTTTATCTGAGGAATAGGAGAGCTGACTTGCTGCATGATTTTTGGTGTGATCGGGGATGCGTTTTGCATCTAGATGGGATGTATGACCTACATTTGAGGCGCGTGGTAACATCGCAAAATCTACTTTGGAAATCGGACTGTTTGGGGACTACAATACAGCGAACTGATACTAATAGACACAATTTACGGAAGCCTATCGTGTTCCTCCACCGCCCATGCCCATCATCTTGAACATGTCGGCCATACCGGGCATACCTCCACCTAGCCCACCCAGGCCGCCAAGGCCTCCCATACCGTTGCCCATTTGAGCCATCATTTCTATGAGATGATCAGTGAGGGACCTCGACGGAAAGGGTACCATATCGTACGCTGCATTTCCTCCATGTCAAACTGATCACCGCCCTGACCCTGCATCATAGCCTTCATCATTTCCTGCATGCCACCGCCGCTGCGCATCTGGCGCTGCATCTGTTGTAACATCCCTGGGGGCATCGCTCGCTGGAAGATTTTTGCGTGACTTTACGTCCGTATCGAGATCGACGGGCGAGCTCACCTGCATAGCTTGTATCTGCGCCGGAGTCGGCATACCATTAGCTCCTCGTCCTCGACCACCTGCCGCCGCCTGCATTTTCTGCATTGCCTGCAACCACCCCTTCTTGCCGCCCGCTTGTTTTGCCATGTTGGCCATCATCCGGTATTGACACAGCAGCTCTTCGACCTCTCGGACGCTGGTCCCGCTGCCTCGCGCGACACGCGTGACTCGCCAGGTGAGGCCAACTGGCTTTCCGTCCTTCCCGATTTCCATGAACGGGGTTCCGTCCGAGTTCAGCTCTGCGGCGGTCATGCTATCTGTGATGAAGATCATGCGCTTCATGCGCATCGAGCCTTCTTCGTCAGAGCCTTGCAGGAGCTCTTGGGGTAATCCTGGGATCATGGAAGCAATTTTTGATATCGGGCCCCTGCATATAAAAATGAGTTAATACGTAGAGTGGAAAATCGGGGAGACGGACATGTTCATCACGTTCTGAATCTGTTCCCGCCAATCTCGAATACTCAGTTTACCTTCTTCCAATTTCTTTGCCATCTCCTTTTGTTTGTCCGGGTTCTGAGTCGCAAGGTCATGCATATGCTCCATGAGCCCTTGGACGTCGCCCAAGCCTAGTAATTTTGAGATGAACGGCTGTGGGGAAAATTTGTCCAGGTCCTGTAAATGTTCACCGACACCAAGAAAGATGATCGGCGTTTTGGTAGCCGCGACACTAACGGACCATAATGGGTGGGTATCTCAGGCGACAGGCGATATACACTTACGCTGATATTGCCCCACCACCCTTCGCGTGGCCATCCATCTTAGTGACAATGATAGCACCAAAGTCTGCACTATCTTTGAATGCACGACTTTGCGCTTCGGCAGCCTGGCCTTACCATACGAGTAAGCCCCGAGATACGGGCATACGGCGTGATACTACTGACCGATGCTTGCGTCCAGTATGAGTACAGTCATGTTGGGTTTAACAGCTTCGCCGATCTGGACCATCTCTTCAAACAGCTCGGATTCTTGTTTGTGTCTCCCTGAGGTATCCACAATGATGACATCGAAGCGCTCCTTCTTGAACTTTGATACGCCCTGGGCAGCTATTGCAACGGGATCTGTCTCCGTATACGATCCAAAGTAGGCGACTTTCGCTTTCGTTGCCGATTGGCGTGTTTGGTCGAACGCGCCGGCACGAAAGGTATCTGCGCAGACGATGCAAGACTTGAAGCCGCGCTTCTGGTAGTACACAGCGAGCTTTGTGCATGTGGTCGTTTTTCCGTTTCCCTAGACGATCCCGTCGTAACGTTGATCCGGGCACGATGAAGACCCCGCGTACCTGAAGACCGACGGCCATGATCACGTTGGGCTGCCCCTTCTTGGGCTTGTATGGTTCGACGCCAGGATCGACCAGCTGCACCAGTTCATCGAAGATGGCCTAAGGAGAATGTCAAGTTACATTCCCCGGTGTGATAATTACGATCGCGGACCTTCTGGACTATGTTCTTCCTATTTGTCTCTTTCCCCTTGTCTGCACCACCCTCTAGCGACGCCTTGACCTTCGCTTTCACCTTCGCCCGCAGTGAGGCCACCAGTTTGACGTTGACGTCGGATTCAAGGAGCGCAGCGCATACTTCTTTGAGGAGCGCATCCAACACCTGTTCTCCCACATGAGAATAAGTGAGAAAATACCGCGCGCATGACCCACCTTCTCGTCGACGACCGGAGCCCTGTTTAGAGAGGACAGGGCAGCATTGAGCTTCCGGCCCAAGTCGGCTAAGACCATGGTGGTGGTGGCGGCGGAACTGGCGGGCGCTTTGCCGAATTCGATCGGGATTGAGTGCAGCAGCCACACCGGACGCGTCGAGTTGACCTTTCCTTCGACCATGTCTCACAGCGAGTCTGAGGACGACGGCATTGACGACGCCGAGTTCGACAGAACGACAGAGGGCGACGACGAAATCGACGAGGACATCCTGGATGCCCTCGAGGGTGATCTCGCTGCCGCCGCCGCAGAGGAGGGCACGGACGGGGAGGATGTGCGCCAGCTGTTCCCGTTCTCGTGGCATCGTCCAGCTAACCATCTGACCGTATAGGACTCCCTCTCAGATGATTCCGACGGCGGCTCTGACGACGACGAAGCAGGCTACGACGACGTGCTCTCACAGAAGCAGGTGCAGGTCGAAGACGTCTCCGGCTCTGTCCCTCCTGCCACAACGCTCTCGTCATCAAGAGACTCGCCGTCTGGAGAAGGTACGTGGAAGCGATACAGGACAGGACCTTCAGAAACATTGACACGCTCGTAGAACACAGTCCTGCGGCCGCCGCACCACCCCGAAGCCGCTCGCTCTCGCCGGCGCACATGCGGAGGATCAAGCTGCTCTCCGACATCTCGTGGCCCCGGTCGTACACCGTCGAGGCCATCTGCGCCATTCCCCAGCCTGTGCCCACCCACTGTCTCGCGTCCTCTCTGTGCCTGACGCACCTCCTCACCGGCTCTGAGGACGGCTACATCCGCAACTACGACATCTTCTCCGCCGTGAACGGTAAGGTTTTCCTGACTGCACCGCAGAGGCATCATTGCGGTGTCATGGAGGGTCTCATGAAAGCTGGTCAGATCAAGTTCTGGTGGGAGAACCCGGGTGCGTCCGACGCGGGTGTCAACTATGGCTCGTCTGAGGAGCCACGGCTGTCCTCGGTATACAGCCTGGCGATGCACTCGGATGCACTCTGGTCGCTGGCTGGCTCGGACGTGGGTGTGCTCCCCGCGCGAGTGACCGACATAATTGACAATCCTGTTCGCAGCAAGGACAAATCAACTTGTTCACTGTCCGTCACGATCCTGGCAGGTTGTGTCATTCGATGAAAGGCCACCGTGGCCGCCCTGTCTCTGGGCTTGCCATGCAACACGACGAGAAGGGGTTCTTCAGTGCCGGTTGGGACGGCGAGGCTGTGGTGAGGGTTACAGTGTATATTGTTTTCGAGTATGCCTGACTGGTGGCTCCACATCAGCAATGGGACTTGAACACGGGCTGGGCCGTGCGGAACTTTACAGCGCATGGATCGCAGCTTACTGCCATCGCAGTGCGACCGCTGGCTGCTCCGCATGCGGGTCATCACTGGAGCTCACCGCGACTGAACAACCAGATGCAAATCAGCACACAGGGACCTCCCGGAGATTCGTCTGCACTCGGCGCCGCCGGCGAGGAGATGGACTGGCTGAAGGCCGAGCTGGAGGGCGACTCTGAGCTAATTGGGCAGGCCGCCATGGGCCGCCGGATGTCTGCTGGGGCGGCGGCGCCGCCGCCCCAGAAGCACGAAGAAGACGATAAGTCGGACGGATCTTACGATCCTCTCTTTGATGACGAGCCGGACGCCGACGGCGAGCCCGACCAAGGCGACGGTGCTATGGTGCCACCCAACCCGGCCGCGCCCCCTTTCAGCAACCTGTCCCATGCGCGGTTCTCGGATACGAAGCAGCGCTCGTTTTCTACCTCACAAGCGCATTCGGGCACTAGGAGCGCCGTGGCTCCAAAGAACGCGCCGCCGATATTAGACCCCTTGACCTACGCGACATTTTCGTCGGACACGTTGATGACTGCGTCTATCGACGGGCAAGTCATCCTGTGGGACACCCGCGTCCACTCGCCCGGGACGGGGGTAGGCCGGCTCTGGATGAGCGACAAGACGCCGCCGTGGTGCGTCTCGGTGAGTGTTGCCCACGGTTGCGGCTATATGTAGCCTCATGTCCGCACCAGGCTTGCTGGTCGGCCGACGGCGCGCAGATATACACCGGTAGACGGAACGGCACCATCGACATCTACGACGTCCGACAGACGGGACGTGTGGGGTCGGGGACGCCCAAGATCCTGAAGACGCTTCGAAATCCCGTTAGTTCTGGGGTGGTCTCGTGCGTCGTCGCGTTTCCCGACGGACGGCATCTTGCATGGTGAGGTGGCTTTTGTGCCCGCGTTCTGGAGGTCTCGCTGACGGTCGCGCAGTGCGTCTAACGACAACATTCGCCTGTGGAACGTGGCGGAGGCTGGCGAGCCCGATGCGCTCGGTAAGATGAAGAGCGGCGTGCAGTTCAAGATTATACCAGGACACCATGGCGGATTCATCTCGCAAATGCGTGAGTGTTTATGTCGTTCGGAGTGGAGAGGGTCCTCATCGCCTCCTCCAGTCGTCGATCCTGCCGCAAGGTTCCTGGTCAGTGCCAGCAGCAATCGGGGCTGGTTTGGTGAATCGACGCGGACTGTGTTTGTGCATGAAATCAAGCACCTCAGATGATTCAACAACCGCCATTCGCTCTGTTTGGATATTACCACGTCAACGCCCCATCGCACTCTAGAGATACGAATGAAGCCATTCGTGGATGTCGAGAGCCCCGCAGCGTTTTCTCCGGCGCGTATATCGTCAATGGCTCACTCTCGCGCGCAATTTACGATAGCACTGCATCGTCACGTCAAAGCCGATGCCTGGCAGAGATACCTGCACACTTTATGTCACGGCTCAATTCCGATGTTGGCATTGCTGTGGCTGCCGTAACTTATGTCTTAGATGTGATCCGACCCATTGTTGTTCCTGACCAGCTAAGAGAGATATTGTCCGCATTGTGATTATTCCTCATATGATCCTGCTTGACCCATTTAGCTAGACGTTCTCGTCGCGCCTCGAGACTCAAATGACCCAGTACCGTTCCGGGTGCTCAGATCACCGCTCGGTTCCGCCCGCCGTTTCTTCCATCGCTTCTTCTGCGCCGAGGCTGCAGCTCTGTTCCCGAACAGGAATGTGGACGTGTGCTTGTCGGCGCCTGTCTTCTTGGAAAAGGCGGACGTGCCCTCGAACAGCATCTTTGGGAAGGTGATCGTGGGTTGGTCGACAGGGGATGTGCGAAAGAGCTTACCACCCAGAATCCCCAGAGGGATATTGCAGCCGCGGGAAATGTCACGAGGAGACCGAGAGAGCTCACAGATCTTGTATTGTATGCCAGGAAGGCAATGATGGCGCAGGCCGAGCTGAGTGGTGCCAGGAGGGGATGCCTCGTCGTGGCCTGGTTGGGGTCGAAGAGCGGCACCGAAGGGACCTGGCACACAATGAGCTTGTGTGCAGCGAACATCTCGGGGTGGACTCACATTGAGGACGAGGACTATTGCGGCGGCGACGAGCAAAATGCCCAGGTTGCGCGCGAGGAAGGACTCGAGCGGGGTGAGATAGGTCCTGCGCTCGGATCCCCCGCCCTCGACGAGAAAGAGGAGAAAGCGGGGGAAGAGGAGCAGGGTTGTGGCCGATACAGCCAGTCTGGGGCGGACGAGGTGAATTGAGAGACGAGGGGCGTGTGGAGGGGAATACGTACATGCTGGCTGCGCCCCAGGCCCAGTAGAGGACGCTTTCTGTGTCGACAGAGACAGCGAGCGACTGGGGTGCGGGCGCGGGCGCGGGCGTGGGCTCATCGCACGTCGTGGTCGAGAAGTCCTGGAGCTCAAAGTTGTCGGACATGGCAGCGACGGCCAACTGCGCGCGCGCTCACGATTCAAAGTCGCTCAGCCTGCGCCGGCCATGACGTCATCCATCATCCACGCCCAGCCTCGTCCAGATGCACACAACAAAGAAACATACATCTGCTCATCCTCCCGTTAAAAAGAAAGACAAGACAAGACGTCTTTCTTGCAAAATAACAGCCGCGTTTCAAGTGTTCAGTTCACCGACGTCTGTCTCCCCCCGCTGTTTCCTCGCCCCTTCGTAACCCAGAGAACCTGGCTGTGTGCTTACCACCTGTCGTCCACAGACGTTCCCTTGAACAGCATCTTTGGGAGAGTATTCAAATGCACGCACAGGGGTCGTACAGGAAGGCTCACCAGCCAAAATCTCCAAAGGGACATTGCACGATGATGAGGGCTATCGCTGCGGGGCCAGGAGCTGGACTGTGGCAGGTACGACCAGCCTGGCTGGTCAGCGGTAGATCAGCAACGAGGACTGCTTCGTGTCGGGAGAAATGAGTGAAGCGTACACATGGGCTGTGCCCCACGCCCGTAAAGCCACCGCGGTTGCAATCATCCGAGCCCGATATGACAGTGGGCATCGGAATAGTCTCCTGCATGAGCAGAGCAGATACTTCCACTCCCTTCACCGGATATCCGTGCCAACTGTGCGGCACTCGCGAGTTCCTGGGCTGCGTCGGCCACGCCATCATGAACGGACAAAACAAAGTGCAAGGATTAAGTTATGTGCGGATACAGCAGTGCGTACAATACTATCGTGAGCAGTCGTAAAACCGAATACATAGAGCGCGACAACAATACATCCCTCAGATCGTCTCCTTACCAGCCACCCCCCTGTGAGCCCCAGTCAGACTGCTGAATCAACCCCGCGCGCGATGGGTGCACTCCGGGTGGTCCAGCGCTCGCCGGGGGCGGTGGATACCCAGGCACACCGTATGACGACGAGCCGTAGGGCATCGGCGTAGCGTACGACGCAGGCGTCGGTGCACCAAACCCTGACGGGGGCGGAGCGCTTCCTTGGCCGTAAGGGTTTGGTGTACGTCCCACCTGCCGGACCGACATATGTCCGGGAGTGGCATGTCCGGGTGCTGGTGTCCTCGCAGGCGTGCGGGCCCCGAACGGTGTCTTGCCACCAAGCCCACCCCCACCGAGGTTCTTCGACTCGTGTATATGTCTTCCAGGACGTGAACTTGAGCACGATACCCCAGGCGGAAAAAAGGACAGCTTACCTGACTTTGAATGCGTCGCACAACTCCGACACACCCGTCGCTGGAGTATCAAACAAGTAGTACGCTTCCGGGGTCACTCGCACAGGCTATGGCAGCATCAGCGTGAACGCATCTGCGGATAGTTTTGTAGACGTACCCATGTCTGAACAGTCGAGTTTTTGTTTGCCAAGAAACACAGACTGAAATGGCCCGGTCGTTTGCGATTGAGGGTGAATCCATACGCACTCTTGGCAGGGTTGGCAGCTACGAAGTTCTTCAAAAAGAGGTCTGTACAAGGGAAGGTTATAGCTATGTCCAGTGTCTCATGGGTGTAAAACTTACGGAGATCGTCCTCCGCACCGTGCTTAAACTTCTCGTGGGCCATCAGTTCCTCCACCTTGCGAGCCATGGCCGACACATGATTGACGATCAGTTCGTCGAGATCAGAGTACTGATGCGTGCCATCGACAATGAGCTTGCCGCCCACGGTTTGACCAGTGGGATCAGCGTTGGGTTCCACAACATCTAGACCGACATAAGGTCAGCGCGACGTGCCGAGTGCGCACGCAAACATACACATACCAATATGCTGAAACAGTTTCTCATCGACCTTCCACGTCACAGCAAGATGGTTCACTCCCTTCGACGACGGCCGGATGACCACATCGCCCCGCTGCTGCTTGTCCAGATATTGTTCGGCCTGCTGGGCATTGAAGTTGTGGAAATTCGGATGCTTGATGACCCGCCGCGTCTTGTCCACTTCAGCCCTCTTTTTCCTCGCCTGGATTTCAGTGTCGCGAGAATGCTGCTCGTGGTCCCACGCATCATCATGCTTCACCCGGCGGAATTGGCTATCACCGGCACCTACATCCGCAGGTCGCGATGATAGTTCGACCCAGAACGAATCGTTTTCCAATTCAAGCTTGACATCGATGATGACTCCCTGCATAGTCTGTCCTGACTTGACAACGTCCCCCGGGTTCCCAACCGCATGGTCCGCAAGGTATTGCGAGTTGATATGACCATCAATGCCCGAATCAAGTCGAACAGCCACGAAATGCTGTTTCGCCCGGAGCACCAAGACCGAAACAATGAGCCCAACACGCAAAGTGCGCATGGTCTCTCCAGTGAGCATGGTAAGTATTTCCTCCGCCGCTGGCAGCGGGAACGGCTCTCGCTCCTCCCCGAATGGCTTCAACAGTTCAGAACGGATGATGTTGAGCGTGTGGCGCTTCTTGTCTTGGTTTGTCTCATACATGTTGACCGCAAAGTCGTCTAGGTTGAGCTCGTCCAACTTTCGTTCGTTTTCTGGATCAGCCATGATGAGTGCAACCACATGAGAGGGATGTTCATCGTGAATGTCCTCCTCGTCGAGTTCGAGTGCGTCTGTTGCCATCTTGCGAGCCAGCTCATAGTCCTCAGGATGTATGCGTGTGCTGTCTAGAGGATCCGGGGCATCCAAATCTTCGTTGTGCCGGTTCTTGATAGGCTTGGGCTCAGAATCTTGCACGATTCGCAAAAATCCTGCCGCATTGAGGAAGATCTTCGTCGTGAGGAGAGTGTTCTTAACAAATTGATCTCGATTGACAAGGTTGCCACCCTGAAATTATGTTAGACACGCCTTGAAAAAGCAACTACGGGTACCAACCATAGACGCAATCTTTTTCACCAGCACTTGGGATTTTCGGGGACCCAAACCACAGACGAATGGCAGCATGTGTTGATAGTACGGGTCGGTGACGGCACGATTGATGTCAACCCCAACCTTGTTCGTCACATCGACCAAGACTCTCTCTAGAGCAGACAGCAGCTTCTCCGTAGGTATCTAGGCTGAAGGTTAGAGTTGGTGTAATAAGAGGTCAGCAATTACCACTTACCAGGTGTTGATTGTCCTCGTCGAAAAGACTAGCCTTGATGTCTGCCCCGAGCGCCGCATATTCATTGAGCGGATGCTGCGTGTATCTCGCGAGTCCGACACAGTACTTGGCAAGGGGAGAAAGAGCGCTAAACTCTTCAGCCGCACGCTTGCTATGCTGGTAAATACGAGCGACCTCGTCCAGCACATATATAACGGGGATATTAAGGGAATCCTCCGGCCGAGCATCTGCAGGATCACTGAGTGGCTCACCGTTCGGATTCTTAACGGCAGCCTTAACACGCGACGCTAGTTTCGCTGTAGCAATACTGAAACCCCCAACAACGATGACATCAGGTTTCCGCCTTTTGAGTATGTCAACGAATTCGTCTCGGTTATCCGAATCGACGAGGTTATCTATCCTGGTATGCTCCCGGAGACGTCCTGCCTCATCTATGAAGACGACGGTAATGACGTCCTTGTGAGGCTCTCCCTTGCCCCACGACATAGCAAGGACGCTGGGGGCCTCGCCAGGACGCATGTCAGTGTTCGCATATGGCGCAACATCGATTCGCTATAAGCTGTGTTTCAGTGCATGGTATTGCGACTGCGCATTTGGCTCACCTCGCGTAGAGTCTGTGCGCATCGGTCTGCCAGGAACTCTTCAGCTTCCTCTCGTATCCATTCTCTGGTCCATTTGACCCCGATAGGCATGAGGTGCTGTTCGAGTGTCTCCTGGATCACACGGGAACGTTCCTCGTTCCACGCTCGAGCAGTGTCGCTATAACTGTCTGATGCAAATGCATCATTCAGCCTTCGCTCGAATGTGGACTTAGCATCTGCAGGTAGAGTTACGGAAACCGTGACCAAATGTTGAGCCTCGGCTTGAAGTATATGAAGGAATTGAGCTGTGCGTAGCATGTCCACCGCTCGCTTATTGTGTAAATATTTGAAGTTCTGAAAAGATCGTTCAATGAGCTGAACACTGAAAGTGAATGAATCGCACGCACAAAGTAAGGATTATGCTCATCAATTTTGGTAATACCTCGCTCGGTAGGTAACACAGAAACGCGAGCGTCCATTTTAAACAAATTTCGCATTTCTTGCCTGAGAAGAGGATCCTTGCCGAGTTCAGTTGCCAAGATCATTCTCGCCCGAGCAAGCAATTCCTCTGGCGATTGCGCCCTATTAGCATCAGGATCGGCGAACTGCTCCGCGTAAGCTAGAGGATTTAGTTCCGGGTCATCAACGAAATGTGATTTATTCTCTGAGATAAAATTGAGAACAGTCTCATGAGGTTGGATTCCAAATTTCTACGATAAATGGTCAGTAGAGGCGTGTCAAAAAAAATTGCACTACATGCCTGTGCCAATTTCGACACTATGCTCTTCTTGGCTAACTCGTAGGCGGATATACGACTAGGCATCTTGGGTTTTTTGATGTCCATCTGCTCTTCGTCATCGTGAAAGCGAAGCGCCGCTCTGCTATTGCTGTCGTCTCTATATTTCATCCCTAACCATTCGGTGGCGTCCGCGACCATTTCGACACTCTCAATCCGCTTCCGAATCTCGTGTTCGAAATACTCGTCCGTCGCGCCTAACCGTCCGTACATAGAGTCGAGGGCGCTGCGACGCTCCGAAAGCGAGCGGTATTTTTGACCCACAGTGTATACACGCCACAACTCATCCAAGTTGAGCAACTCAACTTGCGTTTTGAGCTCCTCCGGATTGAAATAAGTGATGTAATCGCGCTTGTGGGTCCAGATATATGGAACTTCGAACTCCTGGACGAATAAAAATCGTAGCGCACACGAGATTGCTTGAACAAGGTCTGGCAAATATCGATGATAAACCCCATCTGCACGAAAGAAGTCGCGTTCTTTCCGCGGAGATAGACGTGTGATCACCCAAGAAGCCGCGTCATCCAGGTCGTTCTCGGTCAACGGCTTGTGCAACGATAACGTCGACGAATCTGACAACGAGGACGTTGCCAGTTGCATTCTCTCTGGAATATCTTGGGCACGTATAAGATCATCGTCTTCCGTCAGCATTCGGGCACGTATCTCTGAAGGCTCGAAAACCTAGAGCAGAGGATGAGAAGTATCTAAAGACAGATTGGAGAAACGCACATCCTGATATTTCATCTCCGGCTTTTGTTGTTCCTCGTCAATCGCCGCTTCGTCATCAGCCATGAGTGCCCAATCGTAATCATGACCGTCGCCGAAAACTTCGTGAATCTCCTCCCAAGCACTATGTCCAGCTTGTTATACGACGATAGTTTAACAGCGACTGGCCTACTCACTTCGCATCAATTCCTGCCAGTTCAGGTCTACCCATTGCTTTGCGGCGCGCCTTTTCCAACCTCCTCCTTTCTTGTCTCCTTTCTTCTCGTTCCTCTTCATCCATCGCGCCTCCGGGCTCTTCCTCATCCTCATACTCGATAAAGTTGTCCATATCATCGTCCCCTTCATCCACCTCGTCCAAACCCCCCACGTTCCCCTCATCGTCCCAAATTTTTTGTATGTCCTGGACTTGAGGAAGGTCTAGGTCATCATTGTCAAGGTCGTCGTCTGAAGACTCCACAACATGTTTCCGCCTAGATGTAGATGGAGCAGGTGGGGACGCTGAATCCCTAGCGCGCCGAAGACGAGTCAGCCTATTTCGAGAGAAAGAGGCACCTGTATTTTCCTCGAGGAGTTCGAGGTCGTCTTCTTCCAGAGCTTCCTCTTCTTCTCGGTCTACGACAGATGTAAGATAAGCGAAAGCTATCCAACATATAGTGAGCTCACGTACGGCGTCTGTGGTGTCGCTTTCGTCGCTTTCGTCGCCTACGCCTCTCTTCCTCTTCGTCCATCTCATCCTCGTCCTCAACTTCATCAACAATGAAGCCTTCCCGAATCTTTCTCTCCTCTTCTTCATCCTCTTCAGGCTCCTCTGAGCTGTCGTCGGAGACGCCTGCTGCAGCATTATCGTCAACCTCGTTCCCCTGCATAGGGTCGTCTTCGTCCGCGTGATGGACGGGGGCCTGAGATGGATCACCCACTGGCGACGACATGGTGGTTGGACTGTGACCAAATAAGCCTCGCCTCAAAAGGGTTTTCTGCCAAAGTTTGCAGGTTGGCTTTGGGATGGCTGCAGCACACAGAGGAATCTAGATCAGCCCAGCGGTTAAGTAAACGACCACAGCGCCGGCCGTGTTCACTGTTGTGATAATATAACTCAGATAGTAAAAGAATATTTTCGGAGTTTCAAAATGTGCCCAATAACGGGCCGACATACAACTGTAAACTGATGGGATCCGGATTCCGAATTACGACCACAACCGTAAGCATGGACGACTCTGATACTCATTTGCATTTTTTGCGGCTCGCCCTCGATGAAGCACGCAAGTGCGTGCCAATGCCAACTGCTTTCAGTGTTGGCTGCATCTTAGTATCTCGACCAACCGACTCTGACGGTCCGATCATCCTGGCTCGTGGATATTCGCGAGAGCTACCAGGAAATACACATGCTGAGGCAAATGCGTTGGCCAAAGCACGTCAATTGTCTCAGCAAGAACTACACCATCTCTTCCCATTTACCTCATCCGACACAACTATTGACGATATCTTGACGATGGCTGATATATATACCACCATGGAGCCATGTTCAGTACGAGCGTCAGGCCTGGCACCTTGTGCGGATGCCATTATAGCGGCAAAGTTGCGTCGGTGTTTCATTGGTGTCGCAGAGCCCGACGATTTCGTCAAATGCGAAGGAGCGCAGAAGTTGGACAGCGCAGGAATAGAGGTGATTTGGGTCAAGGGTCTGGAGAATGAGTGCTTGGATGTGGCCAGACGAGATCACTGAGAGCGCGTTGTGGACAGCAAGGACTTGATAATGTTCTACTTTCTGTTGTGAAGAAATGTGGGATTAGTTGAACTGTCGAAGAGGCCGAGAGCGGTGTTGCATGTGAACGCGCGCGACGCGGAGATCCAGAATGCACGGATCAAGCATGCATCCCGGCGCTAAACCTGTTGCTTATTCGTTACCGCCATGCGTATTGAAAAGTGCTACTTTTGTTCAAAAAGCGTATATCCCGGACATGGTCAGCTGTCTTTGACGACATCCAACTCTTTAAAATTGACATCCATAATAGGTTCTGCGTTTGTGAGGAATGACGCAAAGGTATTTCGCTTTTGCACCTCAAAGTAAGTTTTTGAGATTGCTCAGGAAGAGATCGACCTAATCGTTCTTACAGATGTCACAAAAACTTCAAGTATGCGGTGATAATGTCTATACACTGCTGCGTTGTCTAATGAATTTCGTAGAATGAAGCGTAACCCGAGGAAAGTGCGATGGACTAAGGCATTCCGCAAAGCTGCTGGGAAGGAGATGACAATCGTGCGCTTAGCTTCCAGTTTATTTGATCGTCTTTCTCACATACCTCCAAAGGATTCTACGATCGAGTTTGAGAAGAGGAGAAATGTTCCAGTACGCTACGACCGCGAGTTGATACAGACAACCGTCAAGGCGATGAAACGGATTGCGGATATCAAGCATCGCAGAGAACATGCATTCTGGAAGAGCAGGTGTGTTTTTTGTCTACTCTTGTATGGTGACAGCTCCTACATGTGACAATAGAATGGCTGCGAGTAGAGAGAAATTGCGCGCGTCTCGGAAGAAGAAACTGGAGAAAGCAAAGACAATGTCTACCAAGCTAGTAGAGCCTATGGCAGCACAATCATCGGAGAGCGAGAAAGTGCGGGAGAAGATCAGGGTCCCGGCAAAGTCAAGGAGCGCACTGATCCCAGGAGAGGGTCGCTCTATGGGTATGGAGATTGACTGACGCCCATCATCGCTTTTTTTTGTCTGTCTTGCTCAGGTCGATCCTTTCAGATGCATTTCCTGCGTGTATTAATTGTTCTAAGTACGTACGCGATATACGAGTATGCGTGTCGTGATAGCCTGAGAGCGTGACAAGAGGAATTGATTTAATATTACAGAAAAAAGAGTCCCGGCAAGCTCGTTGAAAACTTTCCTATCGCTTCTTGTACTTTGCTTCGTTCTCGTGTTTAATATTGGGATCCAATGAATTCTGAAGGCCCATAAGAGTCTTGCTGACCGCTTCGCTTGCACCGATCATGGGTCTCAACACCGCTATTGGGACAGCGCGCACGACAGCCCGGACAGGGCCCTTCTCATTCATTTCAGGTGAGCTTTGTCTGAGAGACAAATTGACATGATGTACGCACCTCGTTTCCTGATCGCTCATACACCTCCATCGGTACTGCCAGAATTGTTTGCGCTGCAGAGTTGAAGTTGTTCCTCAAGCTCTTGTAGGCCGACTGGACGCCCTCTCGCACATTTGTCGGTTGATCAGCATAACGGCTAATCAGATCATCTGCATCATCTTCATCTCCTAGCTGTTCAAGATCATCTACGAACAAAGGCCCTTGAAGAGCCTCTGCTGTGACCTGATCGTTGAACTGACCCCCGATCACGTTCTCCGCCTGTTCCAAAATCACTTGGGTGCCAGTTGCGAGCCGCGCACCCAATTTGATAGCCTCCATGGCCGTCGATTTTACGAACGCTGTCGTCCCCTTTTGTAAACCATGAACAACTCGGCCATCCTTCTTGTATTGTGCGATGGGCAACAGCACGAGATCCGCGACACCAGAGCCAACATTGACTACAGACCGGATGGGGGACACCCCAGAAATAACGTCTACGAGCTGTGTAGCCTTGACGTCAGGAGTCCATAAATCATTCAGGAGGTCGAAAAATCTGGCCCAGCCAGTGATCTACAGGAGCGTAAATTGACATGCTTAGTTTGACGTCGTTTGGTGACTTACCCCCGTCAGAGTAATATGACGAAGCGTCATCTCAGCACCGTCGAAATGGAAGAAGTTCATCAGCTCAATTGTTCGTCCAGCACGCAGAGCCCTGTAATCGACGCGTCTCGGTTTATAGTCCATTTTGATGTCCACGGGGAACACCTCCGCCTGTTCTGGTCGTGAGGCAAGCGTAAGTTAGTGAATGATAAAGAAGACACGTCCAGGTATAAGACCTATTCGTGCAATCCTGGAGTAACTTACGGAGAAAAATCTCGTCTGCTGGATCGGAACTGGGCACAGGTGCACTTTCAGGGTCTTTGAAGCTGAAAAATTTCTTCAAGAAATCAAGTGCGTCCTGATCAACGTGTAATCGCAGAGGTAGGATCTTAGCCTGTGACAAAATAAATCAGGTAATGGAAAAAAATAGCCGTATTGACGTACGCGCAGCCTCGCTTCTTCTGATGGGTGATCGGGAACTGGATGAACCGTCCGCAGTTCAACTCTTACCATGTTGGAGCCTGTCTCGCGGATATTCCCTCGGGAGTCTTCGCGGAGCGCCGTCAAGAATTTCTTCCAAGTCGAAGTCTTGATGTGATCCAATATTTCCGCATCCTGGACAGTGACGAGAGTCCTTGCGACGTGGTCAGATCCAGGCTTGTAATGGTCGATCTCGGCGTTCACCCCGAGCAATCGAAATTCAATACTAGGGCCTTTAGATCGACTGAGGTACTTGCGCCGACGGGTACGAGGCAGCTGCGCCGGGGATTTGCTGGG